GTGCATGCTGAATGCTAGAACTCTGCTTTATAAGACGACTGCATTGTGAAATCTGGAATTTTTTATCATCTCAACATGATCCCTGTGACTAACATATGGACACATCCATTTTTAAGCGGCATTGAATATACTCATATTGGCTGGGCTCACGTTCGAAATGATAGCTAAGACATTCCGTAAAAAGGGAACCAAGACGCATAAAAAGGCACATTCAAGTCCATTGCTGAGCATTGCCTGTGTTCATGCGGTGGAATGCGGACCCTTACTTCAAGTTGAGATCAGGGGTATACATTCATTTATCTTTAACTGCATTTATCAGCACTTCCTGTGTAGTAATTGCTTAAGAACAAACCTTTCGACGGTCCTTAATACTGAAGATACCTTAAATTTTAATAAATAATGCAAAAATTGTTCACTTTCACCTCCCTGTCATAAAACATTTACTACAGCACCGAATCATTTGGTGCTGGTATACGGCATCAGGTTGTCAACTTCCCTTCTCGTGTAATAGACCACCAGAAGTCAAAACCTTTAGGAGGATGTTTCTTGCTTTCTGTCTACTTCAGGCTTGCTGGAGCACCCAAGTAAAGGCACACGTTAATCCGCACTTGTTGCCGAAGATATAGAGTGACTACACTTCTAGACCGCGATTCTACCGGACGCAATATATACTGACCAAACCTGGATCTCAAGACAAAACTGGTTTTTTTGCAGTTCGGAAATTTATTTTTGAGTCGACGCTTTGTGCGAACATGCACAGATGTGTTTCCTGATTCATTTAACGTATTCAGATAGCTGCAGTAGTTTCAACGCTCTTTCTCCCTTTGCCCAAGGACAGAGTTTACTCTATCCATTACTTAGGCTCCTCACCAAAGCAATATAGACATAATTCCTATTTTTCATGATTGACAATTAGAGGACGTTTTGGAGGTAATCAGCTGATCGAACAACTCGGTCCTAAACCAAACCAACAGCCGGGTTGAGGTGGATCTTTGTTAACGTGTCCTATGTAAGAACAGATTTATACGGGACCAAACCTAGCTAGCAGAACACACACGGCACACCAGTATGCATTCCAAAATACCAGAAACTGAACAAATGCACAATTCTAGGTGTCTTGACATCGAAACATAATGGCATGAATGAAATTTGGGCCTGCAGTAGTCAATTTGATCACAAAATAACATATGTGTAGGTCAGCAGTTGGCATTCTACAGGATTGTGGTACTGCTTGCACATTTGTAACTGACGACATTCAACTAAGAATTTTAAAGATCGCAAATAAGAAATGAGAAAATGGCAGGAAAAACTTATGATTGTTTGATGTTTTTAACTGTTGCATTAGGTTTAAGGGAAATTCGGACCCACTAACTATTACCCTACATCGTTTTGGTATTGCATAAAGTTTCGTGCTAAGATCCAATTTGACAATCGGAAATCTGTCCTATGCTGCATGCACGTCATTAGCGCGGAAGAGACAGTTGCCGCTTCCAGCAGTTAACTGCTAGCAGAAGAGTGGAAGCCAATGTAATAATTTCCTAATTATCGGATGAAACGGTCATCGAATCTCTAATTAGATTACACGCGCTGCGGCATGTTAGGTCAGATCTCACCAGATACTGAAATTCGATGGTTGAGGAATTCGCCCAAACACTTAACGTTAACCTATTATGATATTTTAACTCCATGTTTGAGTCAAGGCATGCAGACTAATAAATAAGCTCTGATCTATCTGGGACGATCTGCAATGGCGTTAACTCCACATTATAGCGTGACCATAGTCTCTGTGATGCCTAGCCAAGACTCAGCAAAAAATCCTGGATTATTAGCACCTCTAAGAACTTGAACTACGACGAAAACTAAGATAAGACGAAAGTCGAAAAACTATCAAATATTTAGGAGTAATGAACGCACGTTCACTTCCATTCGTTCCTTTTTGTCTCCCTTCTGTTCAGCGATAACATTTGCTAAGTCCATTCTTTATACTGCCTTCTTTAATCACCATGAAGCAATTTTACTAGACGCTCATTTTCACCATAATAAGAAACATTGTAAGATGTAACGTAACAGCAAATGGAGGTTCTGCCCCTGCCGTCCTTGTATGCTGGCAGTTTTATGACATGCTCTAATCTCCTTTCTGGTTTTCCATATATCCCCACGGTTTGTCTGAATGGCTAGGCGATTTCCCTCAAGAGAGTGAGTTTATAGTAGAGCGTCTGAAAATCAAAACCCCAGCCACGCCTTGACCAAAAATTAGTGAACATGAGCAACCTCCGCGAACACTTATCTGGCAAAACTACGGTTTCGCCCGCCAGTTTCCGTGATGGATGAAGGTGAAGGACAAGAGGTAGTTGCCTATTTCGCAAACTGATAATTTTAGCAAGCCGCCGCCTTCTCCTCGATTGAAGCAGCTGCTGTTCTAAAAGATGTATGTCCATTCCTGTAGGAATTAGTTATTTCTACCGTAGACCGTCGCACTGTGTCTTGGGAAACATGAATTTTGCCCATCTAAAATAGAGCAATGGACTTCTGGTATAATAGACCAATGTCTAATTCAGTTAGCTAAATTAAACAGACCATTCAAATATATCGGTTTGTTGCTTTTTACATAATTACCCCAAAGTCACGTGCGTAATCATGCAAAAAAATGGAACAGGCCTTCATACCGCTAGTTCCTGTTATTGGGATACAAACACTGACGGTGAGTTCGATATGGGACTTTTGTTGACAATACCTCTACCCAGTTTTAGCTGTTTTCACAGACTTGTTGTTTGGATATTTAATCCCGCTTGCATATTTTAGACAGTGTGAATCTTAAATAAGTATGTTCTCAGCCCCTCGATTTTTATTATAGACGAAGTTTTCCAATTAATTTGGGTCCTTTATCCAAAATGATAGAGTTCCCTTTTATATCGTGCGGGGAAAGTCAAATAAAATAAATTGTTCATTTTGGCGCTCATCATAGTTTAATAAGGCGTGTCCGGAGACAATGCAAAAAGTAAAGGCATTTTTGGCCCGTTTTTTTCTATGTACATATATATACTACGTGGGTTATTCCTGTCACGGTGTTTTGGGTTTTGTGATAGTTATGGCAAAGGTCGAAAGGTCATGCATATATGCATGTCTATATGTCTATGGACAGGTAACAGTTCCGTCAACAACTGTCTTCAGCCTCCCAGCAGATGTTCTCGAAATTACTCAGAGATGCTGGCCGTCCACTTTGCATATTACCCAAGGATTTTCCTATTTATGACTTGAGTCATTTCCGTTCTATTTTGAATTCCACGGCGTAACTATTGATTTTCGTGCAGTCGAAATGCAAGCTCTGTCATTGCAATTTTTAAGTCAACATATCTCGGAGTACTAGCCTACCACGGCTTGTGCTGGTAGATGGTTTTTCTCTGCGCGCCTTTCGGCCTCGTTTAGGCCAGATTTCTTTTCGCGGGCAGTAGGAAACTTATCTATTCGTTTAGTTTACTTAATAGGACCACAAACTTTCTCGGTGCAAATAGCAAGATAAAATGTCTACATTTTCAGCCGATCCTCTTTAGACGTCTAAAGCATATCTAGTTTACTTCACAACCTGTTTATTTTACTGGGTAACCTGATGGGCGACACAGTGATGACGTTTTGAGTCATAGCGCCGAGCCTCAGGCTTATGGGCAAAATTAATGCTAAACTGAACCCGTGGCCAAAGCTTTCTAGTTTTCCAATTGCTTAGTCGTCTTTCTATAAATCAGAGCTTGTTAAGTGTCGAAAAATAATTTATTTGCAAAATTTTCGTCAATAATGATAATATTTTAAATGAATAAGTATTAGTTCGCAGTAGTCCCTTACACGCGCCTTTCATTTACTTTCCATCCAGGTTAGCTTGCCAAAAATCCCACTTAACTTCTTTTTCCTCATTCTTAAACAGGTAGCTGCACAGTAAAATGGGAGAACAAGACCATGTACTGCATCGTGACCTGTTTTGGCTTGTCAATATAAGGAAAAAACGACATGAAGACCAAATTACGGGGCCTGAAGGAATCCCTGAGGTCTTGACTAAGGTAACAGTTTAAGTGGTCAACACGGGATACTCAAAATGTGTGCTCAAATTCTCCCCACTTTCTCTCCTCCAAAGTCCTTTCAGAGAGGCTCTAGCATTTTTGCGACTCAAATGAAGGACTGATAACCCACTCCGGTACTCTGTCGCCACTGAACTGTTTCTCTGTCCTCTTCAGGTTTTGGAGCCTACCCTTCTCTTGCAAATCAAGAAGCTAAAAGTCTACAGTAGGACCTAGTGCCAAGGTTCTGGAAGTAAAAATCAGAAGTCATACTGCATTTTCTTCTGCTTTCGAGTACGTAGATTAACTACAATTTTGCTCTGCCCAAGTTCGTTTTTCGCAATACATATTTAATGGTGGTTCTCGTCTACCGATAGGAAATTTGTCCACGCGGGAATGCATCTTAGCAATACCCAATACTTAAATCTCTGGTGGTTCACAAAGTGCAAATGGCAGAGATACACAACTTGCTATTGCCCCTAGGGACGAAATTTACCCTCTGACTCTTAGACCATTGGATAGATGAACGCGTTAACAAAGCCGTGAACCAATGTCAGATACACCTGCTGGGCCGAGATGAAATTTAGGCCATGCTTACGAATTAACATCCAGCGATGCTACTGCAAATTTTTAACAGAGTTGGACTTCATCGTTATTTTGGTGCTGCACGAGGGCAGTACTACTAGCTTTACCTAACAAACGCGGAGTTCTGGAGCGATCACGTATTATGCCCTACGGCCCCCCAGAATCGTCCAGTTCTGCACTTGATACGAATCTTAAACGCGTAAGAAAAAGGAAAATCCATGTTTTTCTCTCGAAAATGTTTGTGGTTGCTGGTATAAAAGCGGCACATGTTCTTTCTGCAGGTTGTCTCAATCAGACGAAGGGCTAGCAATACATGCGCACAGGCAAAAACAACACAGCAGCATTTTCGGACGGTGAGTACAGAAATGATCATGAAGCAGGGGGTAAGTGGGGCTGGATGTGTTTCTGGAACCACAAAACAGAGAAAAGCAAACTCGTGGGGACAGAGGGCCCAGTTTCTGTAGTGAAAAGCAACTTGTCAGCATCCTCAATCGGCCAGAAGACGAGCTCAATGCATTCATTCTCGTTCTCGTTTCCGCCACCCACACCCACCTTTTGAGCCTCAGTTACCTCAGTGTAGAATACTGTGCCGTATGTGCCACTGGTACCTACGTTCACCCTGCAACAAAAGAGGCAACGAGATTAGTGCAAAAATCCGCTTATTCGAGTGCTGATCATAAAAAACCGGACGGTGGACTCGTCTTGAAATCATCATTCCATTGATAGTTGAGGATTCGCATCGTCGTGTGGGTAACTTTGGCAGAGCTATTCTGCTGCGCAGCGACATTTGGCTTTTCTAATAGTTTGTGATCTAAGGCTTTGTTTCGAGAGTTAATTACGTCGGCAATGAGTGGATAGTGGTTGAGGGTCGTTTTGGTAGTACTGAGCTCCGGGAAATTTGGAAAAGTGAAATCCCTTTTCATTTTGGAAACAGTTTTTGAGTTCCCATAACATTTGTCAAAAAAATCCCCGCACCAATCTTCAGAAGTATGTACTAAGTTAAGAAATGCTACTTCAGGATCGAAATCACCATAAAACTTGGTGAATGATAATCAACTTCCACGAGAACCAGAAGCTATGGCCAAACATCATATTTTTGGCTTGCAGGGAAAATATGAAAGATATAAGAAAATTGGTGGAGACTATCGAATGGTGGACTGGTGAGACAGGTGACGGTCAGGCGCTAAGAGCGCAAGTTTACCTGAATATATAAGTGACTGTCAAAGACTGAGGCGTCTTCAATGCAGTTCCACAGGCTGGAGCTCAACGTCCGATAATTTGTGACGGAGGGTCATGTAAGTCCGAAACACCCTCTTATACGACGACGATGGGGCGTTTGAAATCCAGCGATTACTTGTTAGACGATGCTTAACTAGTCACTTCTCTGTTACTATTGGTGATACGGAGGTTCTTACTTAAAGCGGCATTGTGAGACTGATATGACAGGAGGTGGAGAATGTCTTTTACTAGGACCGCCACCTTTCTCGTTGGCCAAAAGTATGCTGTATTTCACCGCGATTGAGGTAAAGATCTGTTAAAACGAGGCCTGCATTTCTGACTCGAGTTATTCGGGCAAACGTGACTGTAAACCTCCCGTTTGTTTGTCCTCCATTACCACAACATGGATCGACAAAACAGGCAACACCGATATTAGATAGGGTCGCCGTTCTGTGATATTATGTAAAAGTCAAAGTCAACGGCTATACCACGTAGGAAGCACAGTTTCACATCCGATCACCGAAGTAAGGCTACGTTGGGTCCGGTTAATACTCCCACGGGTGACCGACTGAGAATACTGGTTGTTGCTGACATCTCGCTCTGTGCCCCTATCAAAAACAGTACGAGAGATGCATTGGACAATATGGGGGCCAGATTAGGGCACGATACGAGTCAACCTGGCAGTGGAGAGTCCGTGCACCTCATACATTCCGCAATAGGGGGTGTGATGGGACGCCAAGGCGCAGGCCTACGCCAATTTCAGCATCAGATGGTTGACTGGCACGGACTGTAAATGGAAGGGGGAAGAGTGAGTGGGGTCGACTTTGGGGACTCCGCTACCACGGTACTTCAACGCCTTCTTCACATAAGAATCTGACGTGCTTTAAAACGATCACAATCCGCTGAAATTCATGGCTCGGAAGGCTGCCAAATGACGGCATACCTCGGTCCTTTCAGGAGGAAAAGTTGGGCTGTAATGGCCCTGTGGAGCGGTCTACATGGTACTCACACTTGGATGGGATCCGAACCTCATCCCTTTCGTGTTGTCTGAAATCCTAGCCCATCGTGCGCGAACCAGGTGTATAGCATGCGCAGACGGTCTCTTTAGCTCTGTTATCTACTGCCATCGGTTCCGCCCCCCTTGTTCCGACTACGTCTTGCTACCGGGCTCAAGTGAATGAGGGCGGAGAAAGCGACAAATGCTGCCTAAGTCTGCTGTCATTATGGATTAATTCCTGTGTAATTCATCGTCCTGCGCCCATCATGCCGTGGAGTACATGGTAGACATCGTCGTTTGCGACGGTCGGACTGACAACATGAAGGTCGAAAATACTTTGCTCCACTTAAGGCGCGACCACCTCAACGTGTCGCCCACCCCCCCCCCCTACCCGTAGCAGTGCCTCATGCGTCCTCCCGATTTGACGCCGGCCGGCCAATGTCTAAAGCGTAGTCAAGATCATCCAGCCAACGCTCTAAAGGGAGTCTGACATCATCAGAATAGTCACTAATTACTTGTTGGACGCCGAGGTAATTCGGGATGGCTGTACATCTGAGAAAAAAGTTTCCAGAAGCAGGTATGAGGCAGTGTTGGGAGGGCCCAACGGTCTCGCGCAGGATAAATCATATCCCACTAGTCACCCCCTGCCTTGACATGTGGCTACATCGAATCAAAGTACACTGATGACTCGGCCGCTGCAAAGTCCATGTCACATAAGTAACTACGTCCGAAAGCGACTTAACGTCCAGTGCATGTGCAGTGTACGACGCAGACAATTAAGATCTTTGGATTAATACTTGTTATTATTATTATTACTATTATTTTCAATCACGAGCGGGAACTGAAAATAGCGACACGACAACCGCTTGGTAGACCACATGGGTAAACGAGGGCGGAGGGATACAATTACAAAGCCTAAAAATAACACAACTAGACGCCCCACTACCTCCTGCTGGGCGGCATTTAAGGAGTCGAACGTTCAGAGCAATATTCGCAGTTCTAATCAGAGGGGCGCCTTCACTCAGTCCTTCCCGGCTGTCGTGGTGTGCTTTCCCCTCTCTAAACACTTGGATACCGCTGCGCCTTGCAATCAGCGAGGATTTTTGCGGACGAATTCCTGCAAGGAATTTACCCTTTTGGCTGTGCGTAATACACATTCCAGGCATTCAAGGACCTTGGGGGCCAACTGGTTCGACTGAGTATTAAGCCTCAATGGCCGTGCTGGCTGTTAATACTGGTGCACTAGCTCTAGTGTGCCATATCGTTTGCCCCTATTTGGCCCAAAAAACGCAGACTTCCAACAATTGCGACAGAAACGACCGTATGTGCTCATCTCATAAACTGTCTTTTAACCCCGGTGGAGTACCCAATCTGCTAGCAGTTCTCGGATGAACACGATGGCGTGACCTTCCGCAGCACCGTAGTCTTGTCACTCATAGTCATTTTGCCATCTGCACACCCATGGCCAGTCATTCTCTTTCCCAAGCCCAAATTCGGCATCGTGTAAACGGAGAAGGCAAAAAACAATGGCGGGTTTGATTTCTGATATTTGCTCTCGCGAACTGCATTGTTCCAAGTGGCCTTTTAGAGGGTCCAATGCCGTAGTACATTTGGAAGCGCGGTAGCCCTACTAATGGCTTCGATTTCTACGTTGTTGCAACGCACTAACAGGATGCTGCGGGCCATCGCTACGAGGCTACACAGGCTCTTCACATACACACACGCGGCAGCAGCCGCTTGCGTCCGTAGCCACTTTTATCGCCATCATTATTTACTCACTTCGTACGGATTTGTCGACTGATGGACTGGCCTTCACTCTCCTCGGCTCCATTTAACTGTAGCCCAGGCCGCTCACACAGCCCTGCCAACACTCGCTGCCAGCCGATCGTACGACCTCGTTCAGTAAAGGCGGCCTAGTCGGTCTGCCTCCTTCACCTGACAGGAGGAACGCGCTATTGGCGTGGACCGCAGTCAAAAAAAACTCTGAAGACTTGCTGAGGCGCAGTACATACGTACCTATGCGCCTGTCCGGCAACAGTAATCGAGCTCACTACACGCTGTTCGTTTGGTCAAACTTTAATCTAGCATAAGCATGTTAGGGCAGGTACGATGATCTGATGCTCTTGGGCATGCTTTGAACCACCAACGTAGGATAGACCAGAACACTGGTCGACAGGAGCACTTCTTGCGGACCTGCAGAAAGTGCGGTAGTGGGAGAAAGACGCCGTGGCGAAGATTTTCTTGGAATAAGTCATTTGACTGGATTGTGAAAAACTCGGCGGCCTCAGTGGGAACCGAACCCACGACTTAAAAGGACAAGGCCAAATCCCTAGCCATCTTGCCTAGACTGATTGCTTAGTAAACTTGCACGGGAAGTCGGCTGACTGTATCAGAATTGGTGGATTCCATATGTTGTACTTGGCTAAGCGAGCAACTTGAGACAGGAGGGGCCTTGCAGCTCAGATGGTTAGTGTTAGCTGTACTCAGGCCCTACCCCTGGTGTCGTGGGTTCGAATCCCACCGAGGTCGCCGAGTTTCATAAGATTCAGTCAAATGAATTACTCGAATCTACCAAAAACACCTCTTTATTCCCCGGAATAGTTTGTTCCTACGAATAGAAGCTGATATAAGCCAGAGGGTCAGACCATCTTGAGTTGAGCCGCAGCAAATATTCAGCTCCAAACATGAGTGTTTTGACAATGTCCTAACAGTTAAGTAGGACGATGATATTATAAACAGAGTGCAGTGCACTTGACGAGAAGAAACCTGAGTAGACTTCGCTCCGGTGTATGAAAACTGCGCATAATCCTAAATACCATCAACTCATACTTGTAACGACATCTGGCAGATTAAACCAGCTAAACGCTGCGGGCTCACTACATCACCGAAAATCGTCCGCAGCAGAATGCAGAACGAAATTTGGCCAACTAACATGCCAGCCGTACAGACGGAAGCGTCGGATGTGCGCTAGAAATCAGCTTTCACCATGTTCTTAGCTGGCCACCTTGACGCCACTGTCAGTCGGACGACGTGGGGACGATTTCGCCTTCAGATTGGCGCAGCCCATAGCCAAGACAGTTAATCCAGCGAGTAAATATGGCGCAGGTGGGCGGTTATGGCCCTAATCAACTAACCGGCCGTCCATTGGAGATGGGCGCAGTCGCAGTTGTGCAAGTACCCGCAGGCGATGAATATCGTTCGAACTCGGGGGCCAAGCTTCAAACGAGTAGAGAGGGTACGTGTCTTGACGGAAGTTGTCTCGCAACCTAGATCGGCTGATCAAAAGGTTTCGGCCTAGCCAGACAGAGGCCAAGAGCCCTTGTCCGGCAGCATGGTCAAGTTCGTTTGGCCGAATGACAGAAGCTGTCTACTACCCCAGGCGTTTATCTTATACAGTGCCCAGACAGGTGTATCCGGCGTCTTGAATGCGCTTATTTTCAGGTCATGTTGGTTGCCATCGCTCCTATCCAGGTCGCAGTAGGCTGCATCTCTGCAAAGAGGTTTTAATCAACCGATGTAGCTTCGGTGTCATTGCCCGTGGGAATCAGATGGATAGAGTGGAATACGGGAGAAAAACTAACGAATCAGACCAGAGCTGTCTGCTGGCAGTAGGGGGCGACATTCGGGACATAACAAACAAGAGACGTTTTGGCAGATTCGATTAATTTCTCCGATCCAACTGTCGAAACCTCGATGGCATTTGGGCCCACGATAGCAACGACAAGACTTGAATACAACCAACGTTCTAAACATCAGAGCTACGAAGCCCCGACCGAGAGCCGTGAGGTTAATCACACTCGGGCCAGGTTACCCGCCTTGCAATTATTGTGGTGGGTCCGAATCCAACGGAGGCCGTCAAGTTTCTCAAAATTAGGTCAGACAAGTATTATAAAACGTCAAAACACCCATTAAATAACTGGACCTGATATTTACATCTGGTGGATGCTAGATTGATTACTTAGGAAATCCTGCTTGCGCAGTCAGCTTAATGCATCGGATTCGGTGGATTCCATACTTTGCACTAACTTGGGCGGGTAACTTGACGTAGATGTGATTTGACTCACTGCTCCTGGTCGGGGCATCGTAGCCCAGATGGTTAAAATAATAAGTATTGAATAGAACAACCATGCACCCACCAAAGGCCACAATCATTCACCCCTGGCCACATACCTAGGCACAAACGGAAACAACTACGGAGACTACAGCGACAATGTCAGGAATAATGTCAGGAATATCGATCCCATGACCGTTTTATATAGCAACTTTTAGACTTTATTGAAGGATAGTGGAACACTTAGATCGTTTTGGTCTAGGGAGGCACTCCCTGTTTCCTAAATTAGTGTCAGAAGGCCGTGTGGTGCGACGCTACTTGCAAATTACTGTTCTTCGGCTAAGGCAGCAAGCTAAGCGTCTCCGCAGCAGATGGCTAACTGGGGTCGCAATTGCATTTTGGCGCCGGGGTGTCCCTAAACTGGAATATAACTAACGGTGGAGGGCGAGCCCACCTGGTCCAAAAAGGTCGGTAAGGTGGTTCTTTGTCCCATCACGATTTGTCTGATACTAAAGCCAGTATCGTTCCGCTGAAATGGGCAGATTATAAGATCGACTGTTTTCTCAAAATCCGGCACAACCTGTTGGTATCACGGTTACTTGAAGTGCGTTGGAGATCTCGGGCAGGTTTACTTCGATACTTATCACAGTCTTGCGGTCTTACAGTCTTTATTGCAGTTATCCGATGCGTTTCCTCGATTGTCCACTAAATACGAGATCCGCAGATGTTATCAGACAAGCAGTCCATAAAACCTACATGGGTTCGGCAATACATAAATCTTTATTTCTCAAAGACAAAGCCCGTTTCGGTGCCTATCCGCCTTTCGGGTACCGTCAACGCCAACCCTGTCTGATGAATACGGGACATTTACGGGCAACGGCAATATGACATTCAGGTGCGACTTTGAGGCATTTTAAGGCTAAACTGGATTACCCTCCGACCCCACCCCTAACGCCCCGCATGTACGAGCAGGCTGTCGTTATAGGTCACGGTTACTCGCATAAATTCGCACACTTATGTTTACGGCACAGGCGAAGCCGGCTAAACACGACGAGGTCAGCCAAAAGATGTCAGTCCACCTAGGCAAAGAAGAAACCAGTATTATTTTCAGGATTATGCTTGGGCAATTAGACAACATCAGCATGGTGAATACGGCCCTTCGACCGTTGCAAACGATGACACCCAGCATGCGCCCCACGGAGAAGGCGCAGCACTGGTGACTTCCGCAGCATCTACCGCACTCTCTCTCTCTCTCTTCCCTCACCCACATTGGCCCGATGGCAAGAGATGTCAGAGACGGGATCAGCCGCAGTGACTGACAAAGCCAAACAGTCTGTCCATGCGTGCTGCACACGACCCGGTCTCCACAACATGTACTGGGTTCTCACGAAGGCGGCTCAGATTTCATGCGCATGAGAGTGCCGTAAAGGCCACATTATGTAGGAACCACAGAGCCTGGAGAGGAACTAACTATCCCGCCAATTGGTAAACTTCCAACTCACGACTCTTGGCGCGTCGTGATAGATTCAAGCGCTTCATGTTAATTTTTGTGAGGAATGCGCTGGTATACCGGGGGAATGGATTTCACAGTGTCGACCTCACTCTTCCCCCCAATCCCAGGCACCAGTCAATTGTCCAGTCAACTGCCCGAGTTTGATGGGACTCGTCGCCGTGACCGGGACGACGTGAAGACCAACGTTTAGACGTGTCCCCATATCCACCACGTACGACAACGAATACACTAACGGATTATCAGAAGCGACAGAACCAACCGAAAACCCTGTGATAGGGGGGACAGCAGCAACGAGTCAAAAAGCCTCAGTGCAAGCACAAGTGTGATAGACTTAGCCTTCGTTCACCGACAGTTACAAGGTCTAACAGTAGGATGATAGCTCTAGTGTTCCGAATGAGTAGCACCTCATGCGATCTCGTGAAACTGTGTACTCAAACATGAGACGAGAAGGCCTTCTAAAACCAAATTCTAGCGAACCCTCCCGTACATACGAAACCTCCCAGAAGCTGTAGTCGTCATCTCGAACTGCTTCGAAGGGTCCGCCGCCACGCCAACATACTATAGCAGTCGTTTGCCGGATCTGATGTGGTAGAGATCAAAGCAATTACGTGGAAGAAAGCGTAGTTTACCCATAAGGCCAACGGCCGAATACATATGAACAGTAAGATTGCTACCAAGGTCGCTAACTCAACACTACGCGTGTGAATCACGAAATGACAGATTCATGATTCGTAGACCCGCATGTAATTAATAAACGCAACTCTTCCAGAGATGATCCTGTCTGTGCAGAACACGGGAGTCTTGTGGTCCGGGGAGTGTACTGACTACCAACACCGGTGACTCGTAAGTGCCTGGCCAAGCACTTGCCGTGTCAATAAGGAACATCCGTAATGAGTGCTCAGCAGGACTTATCAATAAATATGCAATCGTGCAAGAGGCGCATCCTATAAACATTGATCACCTGTGGGCCTATTATCTCCTGTTCCCGCATATGGCTATGGGTTAAATTACGAATTTAAAACTCAAAGAAAGCGGAAGTTGCATTCGAAAGACCTGGCCTACTTCCTTTCAGTGGGCATGTATTGAAAATAATTTATCTGATGGTTAAGGTGTTAACAGGGGTCTGAAGTAAATAATGGGGAGACAATGAAGCATTCAAAAGGCAATTTGGCGAGCGTACGTCTGCTTTCGATAAATCCTCTTCAGGCCTGTACATTTAGATGGCTATTGAAGTGATGAATCAAAAGATAATGGTAAGTAGATAATTATGCTGTAGCTAGGGTTTTGAGAGGGAAGGGGGATAGTGAAACACCAAAATTCTAGTCAGCGCCAGGAAGAAGGTGGACCCAAGGAAGATAATTATATGCCGATAGCTGGCTTAGTTGCTTTGAGTCATGGTAATTGTGAGACTGTATGAAGTTCTTCTGTGTACATATGACCGATTCGCGTAGCCTGATTGCAGCCGAATTTGCCGTAGCCAACATGTGTTGCCGGCGTTTGTCAAAAAGAGTAAAAGAACATCTTCGAGCATGGCTAGGAAAGGGTCAAGTAAAGAACACCAACAGCTCTATCCTCGCGCCGATGGTAAACAGAGACCACCGTGTAGGCGCCAGAGAGGCCTTCTGAGTAATCTACAAGGTTAAGTCAAGCTATCCAAAACTACTTGAGCGGTGCCGGTCAGCTACGGCAGAGGCGGCTGCGATCAAGTTACGCGAACCGGTCCTATGAGCACAGAAGAACTTCATACGGGTCCCATAGTTGCCATGGTTCAAAGCCACCAAGCCAGCCACCGGCATACCGGAGCGCAGCTTCTCCCTGACGCTAACTAAAATTTCGGTGTTTCACTTTCCCCCTTCCCTCCCCAAACCCGAGCTACAGCATAATTATCTACGTTCTCGTATCTTTTGATTCATTACTTCAATAGCCATATAAATATACAGGTCTGAATAGAATTTATGGAAATCAGGCGTACGTTCGCCAAATTGCCTTTTGAATTTTTCAATAGGAGTTTTCGCAACTCTAAGACAATGAGGCAGTATACGTACGCAACGAAACAAATCTTCTTCAAATCGGACACCGACACGCGATAGCCGCACTCCTCTAGAACTTCCTCTACTGCGGTCTGCTCTATGCTTGCACCATTCTTGTCAACAATGCCTGCGCACAGCTCGATCGTGTCGCCGGCCGAAGGGGGCAACGATATGGGATTGCCCTGTGCATCACGCGGAGTTGACGGAACGTTGCCCACCGCAGTTACGTCTTCGCCAGCGGCCCTTCGTAAGCTCGCGTAGTAGATAACTGCCGTTTTGGATAAATGAAAATACAGAAAAGATAGCCTGAGAAGGCTCGCCGCAGAGGTCAAAAAAGGAAAACAAGGGACAGCTTTTTTTTATATATCTCTGGTGGTGTGTTCAAGAACACATTTGGAAGCCTCAGATAAAACCCACATTACCAGTGCTCGACTACTCATCTTTTATAAAAGTCCCCTCAATTCCCGAAAGCACTACGTTTCCTGATGGTCAAGCCGTAAACTCCAGGTGGTGATGTGTAGGTCAAGACAACAATTGAACAATTTTACCTAATCAGTCAGCCCTCCCCACTCACAAGTTAGTTAACATCAAAACTGGCAGCGAGTATGTTTGCTTTATGAGTGTAGTGGTTAATCCGTCTCATGTAAATATGCTCAGCAGGAGAGATGTCTGTGCATCAGGTCGGTAAAGGATTTTATCGTGGTAAAATCAACATAAAGCTAGAACAGATAATCGTACACTCTCTTTGCCTTAGGTGAATCTCTAGCGGACCTCGGAGACAGCGATCGTCCGTGAAATTGCTTGAATCGCCGCATCTCATTACCCAGGTACGGCGAGGAAGGTTAAGGTACACAAGCACTACGTGCGCAAGCTGTAAATTACAAGCCCTCGACAGATTTACCGTTTTACCTTCCGCCATTCCTAACCACCAACACCATCATCACCACCACCACAGAAACGGTGATTACGATGGAACGGCGTTCACCGTTCAGGTTACGGGACGTTGTGCCTTGAGCCTCAATCTTGAGCACTCGAGGGCAGCTACATAGCAACACAGAAGTGTTTATTGACTAAAAAGAATTCTATCTGGATAGTGGCAAAATCGAGCCGGTAGCTTCTTTTAACTAGGGGAACAAGGAACGTGTAGTGAGGGGAAGCCCAAAGTCTTGCAAGGAGTGTAGAGCATATACGCGAAATAAATATTACTACGTCAAACCCTTGGAGCGGGCGAGTCGAACTAACTATCGTGGACGAATAGAACAGGCAACGACATGCCAAATGCCCCAGCATGTCCAGGTTAATCTGGAATGTGTTGTGATTTATCTGAACACTTAAATGATGAGGAGTTGAACCTCGGACATAGGTTCTCGCCATGTTTTCGGTGAGACAGACTGACATGCATTTGACGTAGTGAAGTGTTATACAAAAACTCTATACCGTTGTCCTGGGATGCTCGTCAAATGAGCTTTAGTTCGCAAAGGTGGTCGATATAAACCGCTTCAAAACATGCAAGACATGGAAGATAACCAAATACTTAAGTGTGATTGCGATGTTGATAAGTATTGAGCATAACGTCCCCAATAACTTACAGTGGTGTCATATAGAAAGAAATCCCATTTTTAATATTTAGAACAGAGCGATCCGCTCAGAAATGGTCGTCAAGCATTACATAGGAGTTTGGCAGGAAGCAGTTTATCTCGATAATTGTTCGAAAAAAACGAGAGGTTTCCGCCCTGAAAAAGGTCACCTGTTCGCGGCTTCATAGGTGCGTCAGGCCCAAAAAGTACTTTTTCCACTTGCTGTTTCGGCGAAATATCCAGGCGCAGAAATTACTACCAAAATTTATGGCAAGGCGTAAATGCAAACATTGCTCCTGCACTTAGGATAAAAATTGACGTTTGGGCCTGATTCGTACGCCAGATTTCGGGCAACAGAGCATAAGTCCAGTATATCAAGTCAAATGACTCACAGGACCCAAGTTCAGCATTCGGGTTGGGGTATCAAGGGTCAATGACGGCTGATGAGTCGGATGATGTCAGTCCAGTGCCTATGTACTTCCTTAAGCGACATTGCTCTAATACTGACTGTTGGCTACTATGCGACCGCTTGCAGGGAATCTTGAGCCAGAGCTTTGAGGCGAAACGGGAGTTGTCATTTCCATTCCGCAATATATAATGCTGTGCTTTGTAGGTATGTCCAAAAAGTCTACGTGCACGTACAGAACACCTCCTGTAGCTCCCCAAACAAAATCAAAACTAAAATTACACAAGGAACTTCGATCAGATGCCCTCTACTCAACCAGTTACTGCAAGAAGAGTTCACGGAGAATAAGGCAGATTAAAGACTCACGACTAGAGTTGAAATTCCGGGGAAGAGGGGATATTTCATGTAAAAGGGAAACGCGAAACGGACTAGTGTGTGATGCGTACGACTCGCGGTGCGGAATCCCAATTCATCATCGGCTACAACTGTGCTAACTGCAGAAAATCCAACAGTTCGTGTCAGAGTGTCCCTATTATTCCCGAAGAACGCACCTCCGCCATAAAATCTACAGAAGGATTGTAACCTCGTATCTTATAATACATAAAATGGACGGCTGGCAGACCAGAAACCCAGAAAGCTAAAGAACAAATTGGCGTGGTAGCCAGAGGAGGACCAAAGAATATTAGTTAGGAACTGTGCCGATCGATTGGATACCACTTCTTGTCGGCCTAAGCCCGATACTTACCATTTCAGTGTACGCGGGATAGAGAGGGGAATGGGTCTGACTCAATCTACATGTAGATTGAGGACATTTAAATGTTCTCGCAACATCAGAATTTCCTGACCAGAAAATATCCGACTAGGACTCAACAAGTCGAAGGCTGAAGAAATTCTAAATTCACGTCTGGCTTTCTACATACGCAATAATTCGTCCAGAGCAGTTATAGGTTATTATAATCGGCGCAAGTGAAAGAAATAAGTATGTGGATTAGCCAATTGATAGAGGATTAAGATAACTTACCAGGTCTGAATTGTTTTACGAAAACAAAGCAACGACGATCTTTGTGGTAGATTAAAATAGAAACACTACAAAATTAATATGCAAATAAAAATTTACGTGCCTATCGTGTGTCCTAACACCGTCCCATATACGTTTTCGACCGTCCTACAATGGTTCGCTTAAAAAATAGGATAACGACCTTTTCAAAGTTAATTCTAAATGGGATTACGAAGTTCGATTTCTCAGAAAGCGGTGAAACATCAAACTTCTGGATGCCCGACATACTTTTTCAAACAGTTGGTGGCCTTGTGGATGACCGCGCTGTTCAAGGCTTGAAGATCAGAACAAGTAGTTCGAAAGTTCTCAAGATTAGAAAGTTATAGGTTTAGTCGTTATTTGGTCACCATAATTAGTAGCTCGCAAACTACACAAACGGTATCTGTTCTGCCCAACCGAGGATTAACAATTAAAATACATGTGGGTAATACGTGTACTATCACGACAATTAAGTTTCCCAGATTTGAAAAGTCAAATTGGTGAACACGTGTTTTCGGTAACTATTCATCAAGCCAAAACGGTTACATAGAAGTTTAAAGTATGCTAATTGCATGGCTTATAAGTGATTCGAGGACAATTAACATCCATCGTTCCTATGCCGCTCGCTTGACGAGGCGTGCTATGGCGTGGTCGGCGTGTCGTGGGCATTGGGTCAAGGGGGGATTTCTTCTTGTTTTCATAACCATAAATTGCAAAGCCATTAAAACCTAACTTATGCATTTGATTATACGATCTCCTACATCAAAAATATATGATACAGCCACTAGCAAGAATGCGTGCAACATCGTGGTTAGCAGCGAAATCCCAATTGAGAAACGACCCCGGCACTACAGGTCCTTCTCCTAATGGTAAAGACAAATTGGTCTGCACAAAACCACCGCCCGGTCAGAGAGATTTCTGTTTTTTCTATAGTATTATAGATTAAGGATACTGTAAATTTTTGAAGCGCCACTGGCCTTAATACCTTTTATGAGTCTTTAACCGTTACAAACATTTGCACACGCTATCTACTTTTCATTGTCGGTTCAGAAAAGACCAACGGGAACACGACGGCATGTTGAACTCTCAGTCATCGGCCTCTCCCTTTGACTTCGTGGTTCCTATCCTTCGAAAACGGTATGCATGTAGTAGTTTACTTCAATGATTTTTTTCTACAGTGCGCATGTGCCCTGTCTGTGGTGCAAAAACTTGCGGTTTTTTTATTACTACTTCTAGAAAGAAAAGACGAAGCTCGCCCTAAAACGGGTCATCGCTCCGTCCACCTCCTGAATCACATCATCTGATAAATTTCGTGTTCTATCAAGGGTTCAAGACTAAAATGTGCACTTAAAGGTAACGAACAGCAAAACACGACGGTGCGTACAGAAGTGATCAAATTTTGGAATTTTGTACGTGGCGTTCACCGTTTTCATACTGTGATGAAATTATGGAAACAAACCGAGACAAAAACCACATTTGTTCAGTAAAGCTTTCTGACATTTTGTGTGACGACTTTTCAGGAATGTCTACAGTGGGCAGATGCTTCCTGGGTGTCCATACACTGCTACGGTCTCACCCGTTTCGTTAAGGTATCAATTTCCAAGTTTACAGCGCTGAAAATGCACCAGACAATTTTTGATCAACCTGAAAGGTGTGAATTTTGCCAGTTTAACCGCCATCATGTCTTTTTCATACGAAAAGTTCGGTACTTGCACATTCGGATGGCGTGGAAAGCTCAAAGGCAGTCAGGAGGAGGATGGGTGTCATGTCTTCTGAGGAACCTCCAGAGGATTCTGTTCCGGAGAATAACGAGGCATTCGATGTTAATGCAAAATAAGCAAGTCAAGTTTCATTACTTGCTTCGGTAATTTAACCTACCAAGTCATCGAACGTTAGAGATGCAAAGGCCAGAACGAACTTCAAAAGACCTGTTTGAAAATACAGTACGGCTTGGCCGTTATTCAGTCAAAAGTCCAACTAAGTTGATAAGTGTCTTAAACAGTCTGTTAATGAAAGAAGACACGATAACTCTTCGTACAGTACATTGCAGGGTGACAATGACTGTGAAATTTCCCATGCCAGGGTCAGTACTTAAAGAGAAAATTTAGGTTTCATAACCACAGCGTCGGGCAAAAATCAGTATAATGTCGGGGTGCGTCAAAATGAAGATATATCGTTTTAGCGCAAACGGGGTAATAAATAGCTCATCCATAAATCGTAAGCAACATATTATAATATGGATAGTCCCAGAGTGTACGTCATGCACTCCGAAGGAAAGTTTGACGCACGAGCTGGACTTTCTTCATGAGTACACCAATACCGTCCTAAAGGATGGGGGAATTTTAGCTGTTAAAATAGCTTTCCGAATAGTCAGATCAGACATAGGTTGCGGCCTGAAAACATTCCCAAGACCCCTAAAAGTTATTTCAGAAGACTGCAGCGGGCAGCCCTCGTGACCGGTCTTGGGTCATTTTTCAAGACCCCGCCGACTCAAGATCATTCAGCCTTTGCAGTGAGCCGGTTCAGACGCGCTGAGGCGAGGTCACACGACAGACACCTCAGGCATACCTGCATACGCACAACCGCACCTTCCCATGAGGCCACTTGAAAGCACCGTCCCCTGCAACAACAACCTAAGCTACATGGACACCACTTGAGCTTGGCCCACGAACCTACAAAAGCGACTGCCACCACTGTCCCAAAGACTCTCAAACATGACTGGACGCAGACAACACCAGTCCTGGCTTCGCTAGTGGCCAATGCCGCCAGAGAGGACAGCTATGGATTCTATTTGTATTAAACTTCTCATTCTGGTGCCCTCCGCCTTCTTCTTTCAACATGGGATTTGACTTGATAATTGTAGCGCACGGAGTACATATTTTAACCGCCTGGCCCCCTATGACATGAAGTCCTGGTAGCGCTTCGGTTAGAGGGAACAAGGGCTCACAGAACCCGCGCTAAGAAATGTTTTTCCAGCCGGACTTCGAAACGAGGAAAGACTTAAAATGAACAAACTGGGAGCAGATCTGCGGGAGAGAATTAGCAAAGGAGAAAAAGAGTCGAAAAGTAAAAAGGACTAATAGTCCAGACCAAAGAGTGTTTCCTGTGGTTAAAACCTGTCACAATGAAGGCTTGGCCTCTTCGACGAAACGACCACTGAAATTCATCTCCACAAATGCATAAAGCCTGTTCAACACACTCGACGAAATAAGAGATTAAGTTGACGAAATTACACCGGAAATTATTACTTTTACCGAAGAAGGGCGGTCTGAAAACACCACGGATACCAATAATTCAGGAGAAATAGATCAAACCGAGGAGGAGGGCTTGCAAGCTGACCTCTATGAGCGAGGTGCATAGTCCGGTACGTAATGTGGAACTGTTGAGCACCACCATATCTGCTAATTATGTCCGTTCAATGACGTTTTTTGTGATGTACCGTTCGCCTAACCAGACTTCTGACCAAGATCTCATTCTCATAACCGAACTGTACAAAGCTAGCGAGAAGAAATATCTCCTTATTGATGAAAATTTGAACGCTTCTGGCATTGATTGGCAGACGTGGACTGCACAGGGGCAAACGGACAACTTTATTCCCAAGCTACTACAATGGGCAATGGTAAAATTCTCTCCTAGGACGTCACCTTTGGAACGTAGGCTAGGTAAGGACAAGAGGCAAACTGCTTTGATCTTATTTTAGCGGGGGAAGGTGAATGTGCTAGTCCTGTATTACCGACCGATATTAGAGTCAAGAGAGCACATTAGCCTGTACCTTGAGTACTCATTTTCGTGCAGATCAATTCTGTCTTAAGGGCGGGAAAAAACATTCTGAAAGGGGACTATTCACTCATTAAAAGAGAATTGTCAGCGGTTTCGTGGGAAACAGGACTGCATGTTGGTGTGAGTAAAAATTTGAAGACTTTCACTTCGTTTCTAAATGAGACTGTTTATCTCGACTGTTCTCTCAGTAGAAAGATAATCACAAACCGCCCAAAGTGGATAAACTCGAACTTAAAGGCCTCTCTCAACAAAAACCTTTTTGGAGGCGTGACAGACTAATAGGCTCCGAAGAGCGCCTGTGGGAATATAAGCAGCAACGTAGCATTGATAAGAGTGGGGCTTCTGAGCTGCGAAGGAAGTTCGAATTGAACATACTGCAAAATTCCTTAAAACATTCCAAAATTCGACAAGGCTGCATACGAAGTACTAAAAGAGCTCAGGGGCTTATACCTACGAGTTAAAGTGCCCCTCCTCTCCAATTTTTTTCACTCTGTCTTCATCTGAGAACATTAGTCTCTTTGGTCTTTCACCCGTTCAACAAACAACGTCTCCTCCATTTCTCCTTCCCCTTTTCCCCCCTCCTTCCTCTTTCTGCAGGCCTTTGATAGCATTGCACACAGGCTTCTGTTACAAAGGATTTGGGATGAAATGAATTTGAGGAAGAATGTCTAAATGGACCAGGAATTTCTTGTCCTCTAGAGTACAGAGAATTGTTGTTGGCAACTCTACCTCGGAATGTGCAAAGATAGAAAACGATGTCCCATAAGGTTCTGCTTTAGGTCCACTACTTTTCCTGATTCATGTAAATGACTGCATTGGCGAATTGGACGGCGAGGTCCTCGTGTTTTCGGATTACATGAAAATACGGAGTGAAGTCAAGTGCCATGATGACGTAAATAAGTTTTAGTCAAACGTCCAAAAACCGAGCGCTTGTTCAGACAGATGGTTTTTCAAGTTTAGTACGTCCAAATGCGCTGCCCTACACCTAAATGCCGGCCGAACGCTTCTCTTAAACATCAGTATTTTACTAACGGGACGGCATTATAAACTGTAGAAAGACACTGAAATCTGGGTGTATGGACGACAACAAATCTAATGCCATCGGAACACTGTAGAAAGATGGCCCAGAAAGCAACTAGTACTTTATACTAGATCATACGTGCATTAAAAGTATTTTCTCCCGACCTCTTTGAAAGACTTTTAGGCGTCTTTGTAAGACCAAACGTGGGATATGGAATGCCAGCAGCTTCACCAAGGATAAAGGATAATATTGACCTACTTGAACAGATGCAACGCAGAGCAACGAAGATGTTCGATGGCCTGAAGCATTTGTCATACCAGGAGAGGCTGAATGGGCTCGGCTCATTCCCTCTATCTTATTGGCAGCTAAACGACAGTCCACTATGAACATTCCGGATTTTCCGTGGCCAAAGTCGTTGCCTAAGACCGGAGGAGTCCTTTGAGTTTGGCCGAGCAAACCAATTATTCGGTCATCATTACGGAGTCAAAAGCAAACGCACGCGGCTAGACCGGAAGAAGTTTACATTCATCCAACGGGTCGTCCGACCGTGGAACTTACTCCAAGATTAGATGGGGACGGTCGACACAATTTGGATGTTTAAAAAAACTTGCTCGGGTAATTTTCGACAAAGTCAGACTTTTACATCATGATTAATCACAACCAGCTCTCCCAAACACTTTGGCACACGCAATGTTTCCGCACTGATTTGCAGTGAACAGATGCGCTTCCTACTTAGTAATGTTTTATTGTGAACCAATCGCATGCTAAATGTTTCCAGTTTTTTGATTAAGAAGGTCCGAAATCACTGCATTTAAATAGGGTCATTAGAGGCTCAAACGATTGGTCCCAGCGATCGCCTACCCGTCTTCGTCTATTCAATTACCTGGGCCGCGCGTGTTCTCTATCATTCGGAATAAATTCGGGCGCGAAGCGCTTAAATCAGCACGTCGTTGGGAGTCCTACTCCTGTCGACAGGCTTCAACGTACGCACAACTGAGGTTCCTACACAGGTGCCTAGACTCAAACACTCTGCCGAAATGCCTCTCGTATAAATCTCCTGTCAACACCGAGCTGGGTAGGCGAACAGTCCTACAACACGGACGCAGAATTATTCGGGTTCTAATCCAGGATTGTCACCTTCGACTGCGCAAATACAAGGCAACAATCGAGGAAGAACGAACAAAGTGCTCACGGATCCTTGGAGAATTGCTGACAAACGATATTCACCGTAGCATTTCTCTCAGTGCCAGTCGCATTCGCGATGCGCGTGAAGCCAAACTGAAGCAGAAGTTGACCACATTAAGTGAAAAGAATCCAAACCTCTGCCATGATAAGGTTGTGCACAACCTATCTTCCAAACAACTGACAGCAGAGCAGATGAAAGTGCTGAGTCATGATGCCTGCTTCGATACTACGGATGCCCAACCACTTGACTTCATCGCCGCTGCGGAATCTGTCATTCGCGAAGCTCCAATTACTGAAGAAAACAGGAATCTGCTACGACAGCGAATATCCTCCAGACTCATGTCCTACAAGCAACGCAAGACACTTTCAAAAGCAGAAGACGAGGCACTCCGGACGTTAAAGGCTGACAAAAGCATTGTCATACTCCCAGCCGATAAAGGATGATCGACGGTTGTAATGAACAAAGAGGACTACACCAACAAAGTCGATGAACTCTTGGGTGACAGAACTGCTTACACTCCTCGTGAAGGCGACACTACGAAGACGCTAATAAGCGAAATCAATAAGGACCTAGCGAGTCTTCGGAAGTCAAAAGCAATAACACAGCTTGACTGGTTGAGGATGAAACCAAAGGATTCAGCGATCGCGAGATTATATGGTCTGCCCAAGGTCCATAACCCAGGAACTCCCCTACGGCCGATTGTTTCTCTAAGAGGCACCCCAACGTTTGGCCTGGCCAAGTGGCTGTTCCAGCGTCTGAAATTTCTAACCCAGGGTTCTGAAACAAGCGTCCACTCAGCCGAAAGATTCATCAAAAAGCTGCAAGGTATACGACTCACAGATGACGAAGTGATGGTTTCTTTCGACGTGGTCTCACTTTTCACTTCCATCCCACAGCATCTGGAGGTTGAAACCCTGCAAACCTTGTTGGAAGAACAATATGACGAAACGGACAAGAAACTCAAGATAAAACACCTTATTGATCTTCTGAAGCACTGCTTGAAGACTTTCTTCACCTTCAACGGAGCTGTGTACGAACAAGTTAAAGGTACACCCATGGGGTCACCGTTATCCAGCTTGATTGCTGAGGCAGTGTTACAGCGACTCGAGGCACTGGCTTTCGACTACTATCGACCACGACTGTGGATACGGTATATCGATGACACGTTCGTCATCATCAATCGGGACAAGATTGGGGAATTCACGCAACACCTCAACTCGATCTTCCCAGACATCCAGTTCACGATGGAGGAAGAAAAAGATTTCCAGTTGCCGTTTCTGGACGTACTAGTTCAGAGAAAAGTTGATGGTGCATTAAAGACAACGGTTTACCGGAAGGCAACGAATACCTCCCGTATTCTAAGCTTTCTTAGCAACCACCCTCTCTCGCACAAACGGAGCTGCGTGAGAACACTCTACCGGCGCGTAGAAACCCATTGCACCGAGCCAGCCGACAAGAAGGCTGAGGTCCAGTTCCTGCGGAAACTCTTCACAGCGAACGGCTACCCTGGAAATTTTGTCGAAAAGTGCAGGCGAGAAACCCGGGGAAGACAACCGAAGGGACAACCAAAACCGAAATGTTGGCGCACAGTGCCGTACATAGCCGGTGTGTCAGAAGAATTCGCTAGACTGATGAGCGAATTTGGGATTGGTGTCGCTCACAGACCTGAGGCAACAATACGCCGGCAACTCATGCACCCTAAGGACCCAATTCCCATCAGTCAGAAATCGGGGGTCATTTACCGGATAGACTGCAGATGTGGTCAAGCCAATTATGTTGGCGAAACCGGCAAACAAGTACGCACGAGATTGCACGAACACGAGTTGGCTGTGAGACGAAAAGATAAACTCTCCTTGGTAGCCGCCCACGCCTCCACGCCTTGACACGGCTTCGACTTTAAGTGCGTCAGAATATTGGGCCAGTCGGACGACCGAGTTGCTCGCCTGCTGCAGGAAGCATGGCAGTCAACCGAGGACTCGATTAATCGACATATCGATCTGCCAATCGCCTATCAAGCACTGCGTGAGCAAATCAGCAGCGCAGCTAGAGGTCACCCCCGGCAGAGGTGAGCTAAATACACGATGAGTTGTACAATTTTTCATTCCTTGACGATGGGCTCGCGTGAGAGTTCGAAACGTCGGATAAATAAACGATTGGTCCCAGCGATCGCCTTCCCATCTTCTTCTATACATACATATATACAATGAGAAATCTGCATGCCCGTGGTCTTCGATGTTGCAGCCAATGTAACTTATTAAGTAGGGTAAGGTACTTGTTAATTCTTTGGAGTCATTACGAAACTCCACAATGTTAAAGCATCCAAATTAGCACAAGACTGCTCCCCTCCACGACTGCAGGACACTGTGATCAATCATGTAAATTATATTGTGAAATCGTGTCGTAACTTTGTGGTGTCAATAATTCCATAAATCTTTTAAAAGTGTCAGAGGCAATTTAAAAGGCCTGAAGTACGCTGTGGAATTTCGGTCACTGGACCACAGGCTTTGGTTGCATTCTTTCCCCTTTTTTTCGATTCATGACACAATACAGGACCTACTGCTTTTTTCTGTCGCATCTGGGGGATGCCCGCTGCCCAGTGATGCCATTTTTCTTCTTCTGCTAGTAGGAATGAAGGACTGCTTTTATTTCTCCAATACGTATTTTTGATTTTGACCTAACTGACGAGCCTCGGATGACATGAGTCAACCTGATCCCGACCGCTTAATAAAGCAGTTGATGGAAGTAGTCCGCACATCGGAAGATACCGCAAGGCATTATTTGTAAGCCTACAATTGGAGCATCGACACTGGCAGGGTGAGTCCGCTCACCCTGGCAGTCTGGAATGTTCGTTCCCTTTTAGACAATCCGAGGTCCAACTGACCCGAACGGAGGACTGCGCTAGTGGCACGAGAACTGGCGCGCTACAACGTGGACATCGCCGCACTCAGTGAGACCCGTTTCTCCGAACAAGGCCAACTGGAAGAGGTACGTGCTGGCCATACCTTCTTCTGGAGCGGTCATCCCAGGGCAGAGCGACGAGACGCGGGCGTCGCCTTCGCCATTCGGAACGACATCGTGGGACGACTGTCCTGTTTGCCGCAGGACATCAACGATCGCCTGACGAGGCTCCGTCTGCCTCTGCGGGGTGGGGGCAAATTCGCCACAATCATCAGCGCCTACGCTCCGACGATGACGAACCCCGACGCCGTCAGAGACTAATTCTACGACGACCTGCACACCCTCTTGGCGACTGTGTCGAAGGCGGACAAGTTGATTGTCCTTGGTGACTTCAAAGCCCGCGTCGGCACAGACCATACTGCCTGGAGAGGAGTGCTGGGTCCCCATGGTCTCCGCGGCTCAAACGACAATGGCCTGTTGCTCCTCCGCACCTGCGCAGAACACCGCCTCATCCTAACGAACACGTTCTTCTGTCTGCCGGAGCGAGAGAAGGGCACCTGGAAGTATCCTCGGTCGCGTCAGTGGCACCTGCCGGACTATGTCCTCGTCCGGAGGCTAGATCAGCGGGATGTGCTGGTGCCGAAGGCGATCGCGGGTGCTGACGGGTGGACCGACCATCGCCGCGTCATCTCGAAGATGCGTATTCGCCCACAGCTTCGCAGGAGACTACAAGCTAAGTGACCCCTAGGTAAGCTGAATATTGCCTTGTTTTACTTGCCCGATCACAATCTCCATTTCAACAATGAGCTAGCTTAACGGCTAGACAACATTCCAATCGCTGCTGCCGCCGCCGCCGCTACCGAGAACGCCTCCGTGGAGAACCGCTGGTGTCAACTGCGAGACACGGTCCAATCGACGGCGCTAGCCGTCCTTGGTCGCGCACGCTGCCAACATCAGGACTGGTTCGACAAGAACGACGCCGTCATCAGTAATCTGCCCGCCGAGAAGAACCGCCTACACAAAGCCTACGTAGATCCCCCCATCGAGGACAACAAATCTGCTTTCTACCGCAGTCGCCGCCACTTTCAGCAACGACTGCGCGAGATGCAGGACTCCTGGACTGCCTGCAAAGCTGAGGAGATCCAAGGGTACGCGGACCGCAACGAATAGAAGAACTTCTTCTCTGCGATCAAAGCTATCTACGGTCCGTCGAAGAAGGGCGCTGCTCCCCTCCTCAGCGCCGACGATAGCACTCTCCTGACTGAGAAGACGTAACTTCTCCAGCGATGGACTGAGCATATCCGAGGCGTCCTCAACCGCCCCTCGATCGTCCGTTTGCCGCAAATGGAGACCAACGTTGACCTCAACCTCCGCCATCTCTCCAGGAAACTATCAGGGCCGTGCAGCAGCTCTCCAGCGGGAAAGCACCCGGATCGGACGCAATCCCTGCTGAGGTCTACAAGCACGCAGGTCCCCAACTCATGGATCACCTGACTGCGCTCTTCCAGGAGATGTGGCGTCAAGGTGAAGTCCCGCAAGATTTCAAGGACGCAACTATCGTGCACCTATACAAGCGCAAAGGGAATCGCCAAGTCTGCGACAACCACCGCGGCATCTCCCTACTGAACATCGCCGGGAAGATCTTCGCTCGCATCCTGCTCAACCGCCTCAACAACCATCTGGAACAGGGCCTTCTGCCGGAAAGCCAATGCGGCTTCCGTCGTCATCGTGGGACCACGGATATGATCTTCGCCGCCCGTCAACTTCAGGAGAAGTGTCAGGAGATGCGGACCCACCTGTACTCTACCTTCGTGGACCTGACGAAAGCCTTCGACACGCTGAATCGTGAAGGACTGTGGAAGATCATGCAGAAATTCGGCTGTCCGGAACGATTCACTCAGATGGTGCGTCAGCTGCACGACGGTATGATGGCGCGAGTCACGGACAACGGAGCTGTCTCAGAGGCATTCGTAGTGACCAACGGAGTGAAGCAGGGCTGCGTGCTTACGCCTACCCTCTTCAGTCTTATGTTCTCTGCCATGCTGATGGACGCCTACCGCGATGAACGCCCCGGGATCCGCATCGCCTATAGGACGGACGCTCAACTTCTGAATCAACGGCGGATGCACTTCCAATCGCGCGTATCCACAAACACCGTTCCCGAACTTCTCTTCGCCGACGACTACGCCCTGAACACCACCTCGGAAGGGGAGACGCAATGGAGCATGGACCTCTTCTCTGCCGCCTGCGAGAACGTCGGTCTGGTCATTAACACGCAGAAGACGGTGGTGATGCATCAGAAAATGAAGATGCGATCACTGGACCAAGAAAATTATTTGCCTGACGTTTCGGATTCTCACTCGAATCCATCGTCAGAGACATTCGCAGATAGACGTGAAGGTATTGGACAGGACAGACTACAATCAAAAAGTCAAAAGCTTGTTGGAGGGTCGTCAGTCCTATGTCCCATGCGAATCAGACCCCATGAAAATGCTGACACGCGAGATTAACGCGACGCTGTTGGCAATAGAGAACTCAGGTGCAATATCGCCAATCGACCGACGCATGGCGAGAGCACAAGAAACGGCCCTAGCCCGATTCTACGGTCTCCCAAAAGTGCACAAAGAGGGCGCTCCTCTCCGGCCTATCGTATCACTAAAGGTCACTCCAACCTACGTACTGGCAAAGTGGCTGTTCCAACGCCTCAAGTATCTGACATCCGATTCGAACACCACAGTCAGCTCGTCAACGCAATTCTTGGAGAAACTTAAAGGAGTAAGTCTCCTGCCAAGCGATATCATGGTTTCCTTTGATGTCACGTCCCTTTTTACTTCTATCCCGCAGGACCTGGCAGTCGAGACAATCGAACTGCTCCTACGAGGGAAGTACGACGGAACGGAGAATCGCCTCGGACACGCCCAAATCATCCAGCTCCTGAAGTTCTGTCTCAAGACGTACTTTACATTCGACGATACAATCTACGAGCAGGTAAAGGGAACGCCTATGGGTTCGTCGATTTCGAGACTCATAGCCGAGGCGGTCCTACAACGACTGGAGTCGCTGGTTTTCCGACACCACAGACCGAAATTCTGGGCTCGGTATGTGGATGACACCTTCGTCGACATCGAACGGGATCAGGTGCTGACTTTCAAAGAACAAGTCAACGCCGTCTTCCCGGACATTCAATTTACGATGGAGGAGGAGGAAAACAATCAGCTGGCCTCCCTGGATGTCCTCGTCTGCCGCAAAGATTGTGGTGGCCTAAAAACCAAAGTGTTCAGGAAAGCGACAAATACGACGCAAATACTGAACTTCAATAGCAACCACCCGATCAGTCACAAACGCAGTTGCGTAAGGGCCTATACCGGCGCGTTGAGACGCACTGCAGTGAAATGGAAGACAAGGTTGCTGAATTACAATATCTTCGACAGGTAATGAGAGCCAATGGTTACCCGCGCAACTTTTTCAACCAGTGCATACGAAAAGGACACCAGAGACCAAATCCAACCAGCCCCAAATTTTGGCGGGCTCTTCCGTACATGAAGAACGTCTCGGAAGCCGTCAGTCGTCTTCTCACTCCATTTGGAGTTGGGGTTGCACACAGGCCGGAAGCAACCATTAGGCGCCAAGTAATGAGGCCAAAAGACCCGCTGCCACGGCAGGAAACGTCTGGAGTCGTTTACCGGATCTGATGTAGTTGCGGACAAAGCAATTATGTCGGAGAAACTATGAGATTACTCCGTACGCGACTTGCCGAGCACGCAGCAGCAGTGAGGCGGGGAGACATTAACCCTCAGGTGGCGGCACACTCGACGGGACCCGGCCATATTTTCAAATTTCAAGAGGCCGAAATCCTCGCAAGGGGTGACAACCGCGTGAGCCGCGAGCTGCTCGAGTCATGGTTCTCAGGCCTGCAATCCATCAACAAACACAATGACCTCCCGGTACCCTATTCCGTATTGCGATTTTCCCTGGGCAGGAAAATCAGTCACGTGAGGAGGGCACGGGCGAGCAATTATCACGGTGACAGTGGGCCAGTTTGCCGAGCAATCGTCACACCAGCATCCAGCACGGATGACGAAATCGCGGCAATTAACGACTCGGACTCGGACCGCCAAGCCACCGCCGCATCAATTACGACCCCAGCGGCGATTGCGAGAACTGTTAATTGCAGTGCGCATACGGTCCCACGGCAGCCACGTGCTATAAATACTGCACTCCTGGTGCCACCTTCACCTCTATCTGCGAATGTCTCTGATGATGGATTCGAGTGAGAATCCGAAACGTCAGACAAATAAATTTCTTGTTCCAGTGATCGCATCTTCATCTTCTGAACTGCTACCTGGGACTCGCCTGTTTGCTTCTATCGGTGATGCATCAACCTCCACCCTCCTCAGTCACACCCCGCAACGCGCCGCAAATCAGCGTGAATGGGACCCAACTGCAAGTGGTGGAGAACTTCCCGTACCTGGGCAGTACCCTCTCCCGCAACACCAAGATCGACGGCCACATGCGCATCCCCGACGACCTGCGGTAGACAACCTCCGGCTATACCACACCACAACACCCTCCCTCCCTTCCTCCTCCACCACCACCACCACCACTACTACCACCACCACCACTGCCGCCACCACCACCACCACTGCCACCACCACCACTACCACCGCTACCACCACCACCACCACACATAAAAACTCACACACCTCATGCACTCAACTGTCACCTCCCACGCAAGTGGGAAGTGTGCATCTCGACTCGGTCCCCATGCGGCTTCGGCTGCACGGGTGACTTGAGTCCGATACTATCCCGACACGTCAAGCGTCGTCGACAGAAGGATTGTTGATTGATGACCCACTCGGTCCACGCCGTTCGTCCCGTTATGTGTGTGTTGTGTGGAGTGGCGGACTGGTGGGCGGAGGAAGGGCTTAAACAGCACCTACCACGGCCCTCTCACGCAAGTGAGAGACACGCCGTTCAACCCCCGTTGTGCGAAATCCTGGTGTATGTGTGTATGGGGGGCCAGGTCGTGCAGGGGGCGCACGCAGTCATGGTCAGTCGACCATGTCAGCCACCGCGCCCATTTCCCACTCCAATCTGCTGACCGGCTCGGACAGCGGCTGGGAGTGGGAGTGGGAAGGGAGAGTGAGGTCGACGACTCAGCGCACTTTCTCCTCACTATGAACAATCTGACGCGCTTGAAGCTCTCACGGTGCGCTAGAAGCCGTGACTTGGAAGGTTGCCAACTGACGGGATAACTTGGACCTCCTCCTTAACTGGAGGCGGTCTGAGAGTCAGGCTGCAATGGCTCCTTTTTAATGTGGCCTTTATGGCACTCTCACCACAGTGTGGGATCCGAGCCAGGCGTTGGCGGCACGCCCAGGTGCGGCTTCGGCCGTGCCAGCCTCCAAATCTCTGTTGTGTTGGTTGAAATCCTGGTTATTTGTTGTGTGTACCAGGGGGTGTGGTGGAACGCCAAGGTGAGGATCCGTCCGAGCCATCCACCTGCAGCCTCCCTCGTCTCCGGTCTTCTTGACTCTGTCTTGACACCGGGCCCAGGCGGGGGAGGAGGAGAGAGTGTAGGTAGATGCTACGCAAGTCTACTGGCGCTATAAACCCCTGCGTAAGTCACCGTACCTGCTCCCACCGCTGCTGCAGCTGTGGGGCACACGGTGGACATCACCGAAATCGATGGTTGAACTGTCAAGTATTTTCGTTTTTGACCTTACTGACGACTATTGTCTCCGTGGTTTCCTTAGATCATATTACGACGAATCGACGAATTTTTTTATTCAGGTCAATATCCCGGCCTGCCACTTTTTGAAGTACTGAAATACCATTTTATCAGGACAGGTGGTTGGTTATTTAACTCGCATGCTCTTTCTCTTATCATATCTGCGATGTATTTCTCTTATCTTATACGTCGTCCCCAATGAGATATTATGCACTAACCCTTAAAAATGGTCCGTCAACACTGACATTAATCTTAAAAAAGAGTCCGACCAACATTTCGCAAGCCTATCTTTGGTCTTCGTCCTTATCTTCCTACACCTTTCTCCTCTCCTCGAGGAAGAAGATTGCAATCATTTACTTGTTTGTTACTCATTGTAAATAGTTTTCGATTTTTAGGTGATTGCTTCTAACTGTCCCCAATCAAGCCTTCTCACATTCTGTCTCTGTCCACTCCTCTAGGTAGAATGGGAGCCAGTGGCTGCGACTTCAACAGGTAGTCCGTCAGCCGCGCACTCTGTAAGTGGTTATTAGCAGCCGTTTTCCTGTGGTATGTCTTCCACACTGTGGTCCCAAATTTGTCGTTACACCGTTTAGCTCTGCTAGTCGACGGAAGACCCTCCAGGTTGGAAAACGGCAACGTCTACCACCATTTGATCTCCCCCAAGGGATGGGGCCATGCACAAGCGGGATAATAAATTTTCAGGGAATATCATTAATCATTTGCAAGTTCAGACAGCGTTGGCTGGAAAGAAATGTGTCCAGACTTCGAAATTTTATGAAACAAGTTAATAGTTTTGAACACCCAGACTACAGAATGTCCCTTGATACGCTGATCAGACAGAATGCCTGGAATACGTCTTCACAACCACACTCGAAGAACCTGAACCTTAAGCCTAAAATTAACCTTTCAGCTAACCCTAATATTGTCCCTAACATTACCCCTAACCCTAAACGTAATTCTAGCCCTAACCCCCAACCCAACTACATAGCCCGAACCCTTATCCTAACCCAAACTCCTAAACCGAAGCCCCAATTCTAATCCTAACACCATACTTCAAACCTAGTAGATGTAGATAAACGTTAACCTCAAGTGTGCACCGTAATTCTCACCGTAAGATCGAACCATAAACCTAATCGGGCAAGGGCAGGGTTTGTACCCGGGGCAGACCTAATAATATACAGGACTCACTGCTGCATTTATTTGAATAGGTGTTGTTCGATTATGTTTTCCCCGTGTACCACTTAGGCCTTGGCCAACTCTACGTGTTTCACCGGCTTGTGCTATGGACCTTGAAAACAACCGTATCGAGAACCAGGCGTTGCAGGAATGTCTATATGGACTTATTATTGTGCCCCTCACCCCGGGCGTGTTAAAAGTTATGCGAAAGTTTTTCTGCAATCTACTGCATCTCAGGGGCTGGATATTTCGAAATTAAGTTATACAAATGAAACTTTTTACAGCTCAAAAAACTGGCTTTTACGTACCAGTTCCATCAGGCGTATCAATTGCTCGTCTGCTTCACAGAGTACACTTCCGCGATGTGGGACAGGAAAGTTTCCTATGCCTGTTTTAGGCCGATGATGTTTAGTCCAAACCATAGCCGATACTCTATCTCGTCAGTGTTGGCCCAAACAGACCGGCCTGACGCAAGGGCTCCTTCATGTAATTTTCCTTTAGGCCTGCATCTTACAGTTCGTTTTGGCGGCGGTCTTCGTCCAAAAAATGATTAGTTTTTAGTTAACCGCTATTTCTTATTTTTGAAACCACCGCTTCGTACAGATACTGCTGTTTACATAGACACATACAACTTGACTTTCTTGGCTTCAATATTTCAGTTGTGAATTTTTTCGTTCTGAAATCTACGTTATATACCATGACTTATTTCCACTACATATACCAACATATATTATGACAGTGGACGCTCACCGATCGGGTTACGGAACATGCTCGGTCGATTGTGACTTGGGGCTCACACTAGAACTCTCGCAGGCAGTCACACAGCGACTACTAGCAGTAGACATAGAGAAGATGGTGCCGGCAAAGACAAGGGAGACCGGAATGGCCATTTCTGGCTTATTAGCCCTCATCAGCCAGTCATACCCAACTCCTACTACTAGTCGCTGTGCGACTGCCTGCGAGGGTTCTAGTATGAGCCCCAGGGCCCAACGGAACGACCATGTTCCGTAACCTGATCGGTGAGCGCCCACTGTCATAAGTGATATTTCCGATCACATCCGACGGGATAACGGGCCCGTGGCTCAATGGTAGAGTGTCAACCTCTATGACAAACGATCTCCGGTTCGAATCTCAAGTGATCCACACTTGGGGTTGGGTATGATTGGCTGATGACGGCTAATAAGCCAGAAATGGCCATTCCGGTCTCCCTTGTCTTTGTCGGCACCATCTCACCCACATATATTTGCTAGCCATGCCTTTTTACACCACCAGACTTGTGGTTTCTTTTTATACTTTATTACTGTCATTTAGCTTAACATGTTAGAGTTCCTTCTTTTTCTTCGTTTTGCACCTTTTGTAAGTCCTTGTCCGTTAATGTATATCATGGTATAGTTTCAGTCTGCCTTATTTGTACGTCGCTTATCGTCTGCCGCCAAAAACCATTGTCTGCTATTTTCCTTGGAATCTGAGCATCAGTTATTTAGTTGACGGCGGCTTATTCAGTTGCCTGGAATTCTTTGACTATCATTTTTGGTCACTTTTTTCGAATTGTACGCTAACTTACCGTTTACCTTCTGAGCGCATTAGAAGGTTTTGGATGTAATTTTCTTTTCTATTTTCTTCATCTTCTTTTCCGTGCGTCCGGTGGCCCCTCCCGTATAACCCCTCTTGCCATCATTCCCTATAGCTTAGGTTATTTGTTTCTGACCCCGGGTACAAGCCATACCCTCGCCCCTAATAGTAAGTCCCACCCATTTCCCAAAAGCCTACTCCTCAGTCCTAATGCTAAAACGCAACAGTAAACCCAATCATACACCCTAATGCCGAACTAACCCGTGCCGCAATCCTAACCGTAACCCTAGATCGACAGGTTCCGTAAGTCTAGCCGCTTATTCTGAATATAATTTCACAACGGTAATCACATACTTGATGCCCTACGGCTGGAACCCCATTCCAATCGAGAGCTGCAATACAGCCACCAAACTTACCGCTGGAATCCCACTCCACAGCG